TTTTAATAATTTGTTTAGTAATTCATAATATTTTGACAGGCCAAAGGGCTGCAGTCCACATGTTAAAGTGCAATGTTTTGTTTGTCTGTACGGGACATTAAAGAACCATTAATAAAGAGAAACAAGTGTGTTAGTACAGGTGCATTGGAGTGTATTAGGAATATACTAAAATAAACCCTCTGATCAAGTACGTGAATGTCTTTCTCCATTTCAAACTAACTAGCTATATGTTGTTTACATCTTTACTTTTGTAACTACTTTCTGTATGTATGTAAAGTTGCTTTGCAACCATGCAAAATTGTGAAAAGCACTAAATGCGAAGTGTGGTTAAATTATTAAAAAAGATAAAGGTCATAATTATAAAAAAAAGTACTGCATGGTTATGAATTATTATTATTATTATTATTTGCAACTCAAAACATTTATTTTTATCTATACTATTTTTATACTCAAGTAGAACTCAAATACAGTGTATTAATCATAACAGGTCAACAGAGGATTCAATAAAAATAAATTACTAAAGTATTCCTTCAATACTTAACTAATTAAATTGTTTTATTTGCAAATTGCTGATTGTTACATTTGCGCTGTAGGCAAAAGTTGCATTTGGAAATTCTGCTCTTACAGCACCTAGCAGAAACATAGATGTTTCTCTCATTTTCTTTGATTTGTCCAAAAAGAAAGTCTCATTAAAAAAAATTACACAGCATCATCTTAAAATAATTTCATTATTCTCAGATTTGAAATACATGGTGAGACTTGTGTCTTTAGCTGGAATTAGTTTCTAGACTAAAGGTTTCTTCAGAAAAATGTGCCAAGTCTGCAACACAGATTCCCAATAGTGTGCACTCTAGTGAGTTCAGATGTTTAGCAAAATACAGCATAACTGATTGTTGGTGAATTTCACATCTTGTTAAAGTTAGGTGAGGAGAAACTGACTTATCAAGCCCCCTTCACTGAACAATTATGGAATGCATTACATGTGTTTATTAGGAATGCAGCTTCCTTGGATTGTTTTAACCACTTAACCTGCGCCCCTATTTTTAAGAATTTTCTGAAAAACCCTTTCCTCTCTGGTGTATTGATTTGAAAAAAAAAGCTCAGAACATGGATCTTGAGTGTTTTAGCTGTCAAATGATATATAGTTTATGATAGTTGATTGAATATTGTTTTAAAACAAAGGTAATTAAAAACACAGACACGCCTAAACACGCCCTTCCAGATATTGTAAGCAAATTCACTAATTCGTTTGAAGAACCAAATTAGCCAGATATTCAGGATGTTGCTAGTTTATTTTTAAGTAATTTCTACAATATTAGTGGTAAATGCTCAGTTATATAGTAGCCTACTTTCCTGACCAGGCCGTTTGGACATTAAATGGGTATTAAGTGAATGAATGAATGAGTGAGTGAGTGAGTGAGTAGGTGGGAATACATGCAAGCTTGAGGCCACTGTGTCAACTTTGATCATTAAACTGCACCGACTCTAATTCAAGTCAGTTATGGCTTCTTTTGTTTGGTCAATATTGAAAACTCAGCACAAAGTTCGCTGTCAAGATGTTTAGTCATTTCTAATGACATTACAACAACAGTTCAGTACAACAGAGCACTATTGCTGCTCTTCTTTGCTATAGAATGTTACTTGATGCTTTTCTTCCACTTGTGCAGACCCAGCAATGGTGTACATCAGATTGTGCCAGTTAATGTAATCACCAAGTTTGTATTTGGTCTTTGCCTCCATGTAGGTCTTAATCTGACGGATGGTCAGGACTTGTCCGTGCACATGCACATCTGCTATGAAACCTGTGAAGGCATTGTGTTGGTTGAACCCTCCATCATATTGGGTCTGAAACTGGCCGAGTGTTATGACAGGATTTCCTTTGAAAGATACTTTAGGGCCCACTTCCTTCTTAATGCTGGCTACTTTATTCACAAACATCTGTGCAAGACCACTGTTGGCATCCCAGGTCGCACACATTGAGATCCACTGATTATTTTTAAACACCAACCCATCGAATTGAACCTTGAAGCTATGAATAGTCATCTCGTACTGTTTGCTAAAACTTAACCAACGTAAAGAAAAGTTTTGAGGGTACGATGGTGTAGCCAGAGAAAATAGACATGGGTCGAGACTCATTTGTTCAGTGTAGAATCGCAAACACACGGTGGCTGCAGACATATCCATGGATTCATTCGGGTGGAGCTTCACCCAGTTGTTGGTGGTCAGCTGTGGGAATGTTATGACCTTCTCCCTCAAACATTTTCTGTGTTTTATCGGTTCTGTTGTTGATATAAGTAAATGTTCTCAACACTTAAGGCATTAAAAGCTCTTTAATGTGAAGTGACACTGGTTGACCCACATACAGCAGTATTGCTTAATGAACAAATATGCAAAGGCACAAACAAAATGAACTGACAAAAGCTGTCTAAATTCATTTTTTATCTTTATCTATTGGTATTAATTAACTCAATTCAATTATAACCAACATTAATTAGGTGACCTAGTAGTCAGCATTTGAAGTGGATCAAAAAAGTTAATCAAAGTTGTCCTAGGACAAGAACGCATTTTGGTTTTAGGTTTTAGAACAACTTTGATGAAAGGTTTTGATCCACTTCAAATGTTGACTACTGTATATTGTTAGTATTACATAGATTGATATAAGTAAATGTTCTCAACACTTAAGGCATTAAAAGCTCTTTAATGTGAAGTGACACTGGTTGACCCACATACAGCAGTATTGCTTAATGAACAAATATGCAAAGGCACAAACAAAATGAACTGACAAAAGCTGTCTAAATTCATTTTTTATCTTTATCTATTGGTATTAATTAACTCAATTCAATTATAACCAACATTAATTAGGTGACCTAGTAGTCAGCATTTTGAAGTGGATCAAAAAAGTTAATCAAAGTTGTCCTAGGACAAGAACGCATTTTGGTTTTAGAACAACTTTGATGAAAGGTTTTGATCCACTTCAAATGTTGACTACTGTATATTGTTAGTATTACATAGATAGTACTTACGGGACAACGCCAAACCACAAAGGACAATAAAGAAAACGTATGAAGAAAGTCTCTTCATGGTCCTCTTGGGTGGAGTCAGGCATGAGAGAGGCACCTGAGCGCTTCACTCTTGCTCTTTTATACTGCACCACTGTAGTGAGGACACAGCGTGTTAGTGCTGATTCAGCAGTTTGGTTACATGCGTAGATAAGGAGCAGGGCTGCACAATTTGGCCAAAAAGTTATCTTGCAATAACGATTTCAACTGAAATGATGAACTTTTATTCTCATATGAAAAAGTATAATAAAACTGCTGCTGAGACATCCAAGCAAAAATAACAAAGAGACCACACTTTGCTGTCAATGGAATAGTTGCTTTTTATGAGTGTTCACACTTGGGTTCAATCTTTGTGAGAACCAACTAAAGCCACTTTCTGTGGGACTTTGGTTATCTTTTATATTATCTTTTTAAGTTATTATAGTGTCTCAGTCCATATTGCCATTTTATTTAGAATTATTGTGCAGCCCTCACTGACCTGTTGCTATCTCCTTTTGTAAACAAAATTATTGTTAAGGTTAAATTGCTAAATTCCTCTTATACAACCTCCATGTGAAAACAAAACACAACAAAGGTGAATGAGTCAACATTTTAATCGTTTTCATAGAATACTTTTTACATTTTCACAAGCTAAGAAGAAATGTGACAGATTGTGGAAGAGTCTTGTGTTTTATTTTTTCTTATTTTTATTAATTCTCTGGAGCAATAAGATGTGGATGTAGAGAAATATAGTTTTTACAATGTAGGATTCTTACTGTCCTGCTCCCATCTTCACAGCAACTTTATGTTGCAATCAAAGCCAAATACAGCAGACCACCACAAAATGTCTGCGTAGAATCCATAACAAACTGCATCCAATAGCCTTTATTGCATTTCCATCATGCTTGGTTTTTTAATGTTCATACTTTTAAAGTTCCCATACTGCTTTCCAGCAGAAAAGACAACATTACAATAAATAAACTCATAATGCAAAAGGATACAAAAATAAGATATTTTTTCCTTTCTTTTTGGCTTACCATAAAACAATAACATAGTGGTGTATAGTAAATAAATGGCTGTTGTACATCTCCTTCATTTGAGATATAGGACAGGACAACAACAATTACAGATGCAAGTCTTCAATTTGTACTGTAATATCTAAACAAAAATATATACTGTGTATATAGTTACTAAGAAAAGTGATAAATCCTTATCCAATATGATAATACATTGTACAACCAAATCCCAATTCAAATATAGCAGGCTCTATAAACATAGTTCATGTAGAAGTATATATATATATATATATGTGTGTGTGTGTGTGTGTGTGTGTTTTTTTTTATGTAGCACTTAAAATGTCCTGTAAATAACATGTACGAGTACAACAATACATTATTTTTTGATCAAAATGCCACATGAACCGCTGAGGAGGTTAAACTGCACATGCCTCATACTGACATATATAAGACTTCTGTTTTTTTTTTGTTTTTTTTTAAAGGGGTCCTATTATGCTTTTTTTTAATAATGTAAATTATGTGAAAAATAATGCATTTTTCGAACCACCAAGCATGAGAGCATGTTCTAGTACACCCCCAAAACAAAATCAAGACTTTGTAAAAGAGCATAATAGGACCCCTTTAAAGAATTCTCACTGGTTTTAAGTAATTGTGATGCAGGATCACAATACTGACTCTTTCAGTAACTTTTGTATAGACATACAGTACAAAAAACTGGCTACCGTATATAATACATACATGACTAGATTGCATGTTTCGTTGGGGCCAAAGTATGAAAATCCCTGTCAAAGCAACATCAGAAAGGCAATATACACTTGATAGATACGCGGATGCCTGTAGGTTTAGCCTTGTGAGTGGTAATGCATTGCAATTTACAGATACTTATATATGCAATTGTAACATAGAACCTTGACACACCGTCTGATTACACAAGAATCAATGCTGCTGTTCGGCCTCAGTCCATGTTTTCTCCCGCAAACTGTGACAGAGGAGTTATGAAACCCCAGTTCTATTGACATATCCATCCAGTCAACCCATGACCTCATCCTCAACGTTCAAACAAACACATACAAACAGCATTACGCATTCACACATGCATCCACACGCAAACACACCATGACAAACCAGAGCAAAGTTGTCAAATAGGCTCTTTCATGTATTTTCAGACAAAGCTACTGTCCTGTTGGTCATCCAGTAAACTCCCCTCTAAACCCTCCTTTCACTTTCTGTGACTAGATGTTTTGTAAATGTCTTTTGATATGTTTGACCTACAGATGGGCCAGTGATGCTATAGAAAAACTACGGAGAAGCACAATTAGTGAGAATCTAATTTTCACCATAATGTTAGAAGACAATTTGTAGAAATAAACAGTGACCACATCTCAAAAATTACGTTTTAATAGTGTCTTGGTTTTACTTTTGCAGTGTCTTTGTGTACCAGTGAGCAATGGATAGTGAACACTGTGTTGTTAAGTGCACAGATAAGATTAATCTCTACTGCTGTGACAGGAGTCCTTATGATTTCTGGCCCTCAAACACCAGCGGTTGCGTAAACGGCACAACATCACATGGGAATGCTGCAATGATTCCAGGGTTCTCTTGCATTTCTTTCACGTTTCATCTTCCGATGCAAAATCAGGAGGGAAGAGAGACAGAAACTCGAGTACACCAAGACCACTTTGTTTCGTTGCATCAACAACATCAACAAAAGCTCTTAAAAAACAGAACAGCAATAGAGAGGAAGGGAGGGACTAAGAGAGAGAAAGAGAGAGAGTACTGAGTACAACAGATTGACCAGGAACAGCGATCGACTTTGTACAAATTGTGACTGTCCGTGTTTTATGTTCTTAGGTGGCTACAACATCGCTACAGTGAAGATGCAGTGCAAGGAGGTAGCCAGCAGGAGCAGCAGAGAGCTAAGGCCTGATAGAGATGCCTGCCGAGTGGACGAATTCCTGGAGATGGCGTTGGAGGAGCTGGGGTCATCGATCTGTGGGTCCTTGGAGAAACACAACAGTGAACAGGCAAGAAAGAGGATGAGCATTTAGTCTTACCAGCCTAAAGGTGGTTAGGCATGGCAGAGAGTACAGCTATTTGATTTTGATGTATTTTTCCATTATGATGTTTTACCTTGAACTTTTCTAAAAGGAATTGTATGTGTTTGTGATTGGCTTTTCAAGGCTTTTAGTACACCATAATGCATTAAAAAAAACCTGGACTTTCACCTTGCAAAAAAAAAAAAAATAAATAAAACTCAGTTAATTCAAAAATAAAAATGCAATTCTGCCTGAGTTATACCTAACATGGGTTCAGATTAGAAAAGCTCTTTGATTCAGCAATGAAATTGTTCTCTGAAAAGAGGTCCTTGTTTTTAGGGCTGTTTGGGCCTGCCGCTGCAACACTAAATGTCATTTTAGCATATAATGTTGCTTTTATTATGTACAATGACATTTAGTGAACTTTAAAAGGCAGAAGATAAGCAATGTTCACATTTTGCCATCGCCCAACGCAAAGATCATGTGCATACCGGGCAGGAAGAGCCCTCTAGTGCCAGGTCAAAGTTCAGCCGAAAGGGGCCAATGTGACATGAGATAATTACTGCTTTGTATCTTTTCTTTCATTATGATTCATCCTTTCAATAACAATTGACATATATCAGAGATATGCCTAGTTTGGGATGTGCAATCAGTTTTTATTCTGGCATGAAAAGAAGCATGTTAGCATACTTACCACACATAACACAGCTATTGTGTTGTTTGTCTGCAGCTTCTGAGCCTAGAAAGGGAAAAAAACTCTATTAAAGTAACTGGATAGAAATTAATAACATTTTGGACCAAGAAAACCCCTACTAGACTACATATTACAACAGTCCTGCAGGAGGATCCACACTGGATAATCAATAACAAAATAGCCAGACTGTTGTTTATAGCTGCGATTTTATATCCATTAATTGCATTAGTAGTGTGCTATATAATGATATTGACAAGTTTAAAATCTATTGTGATTCTCTTTTTAGATAGTGTCAATATAACCATAGAGAATTAAATGTGTGCACAAGCTGATATTAATATTAATCATATTAATCATAGCAGGTGGGTTACTGGAGGATTCTCAGTTTGAGGCCACATTATATTTCTCAGATTTTAGCATTTCAAATGTAACCCTCCAGTAGCATACAATTTAGTATGGATTTCACTTCCTTATGTGTGTGTACTTGTTGTATAGGTATGCATGTCTAAGAAAGTGAGAAGCAGTGGTGATATAGGAGACCTGGTGACAGTATAATGAATGGATTCCTGTGTGTTGGTGGTTCGGTATCCTCCTGAAACTAGCCGACTTGAATCTAAGCCAGAGCCCAGCATGATAAAGCAATGCCTCTGCCAGCATTATAAACAACCGCATCTACAGACCGGTAAAAAGAGGATTTGAGGTTTAATATCAATGATTAATTTCTCCCAGAGCGGTCCTAGCGCCCTTAAAACATTTTTTTAAATTGAAGAAATAAACCAACAAAAGTCTAGAAAGTGTGATGTTCAGGCAAAAAAAAGTTGGATAATTGTTCTCTGTACACATCAAGTGCTGCTTTAATTACATTGAAGCAAAATGCTCCCAAAGTGCAAGATATGGCACTTTAATAGTGCAAAAAAAAAAAGAAAAAGAAATGGAAAAAGAGAACAAAACTCATGAAATTGGCCCTTAATCTTACTGAATCACTTGACAGCATACTAAGCAGAGAGTTTCTCACTTTTATTGTATATTTAGAACATGAGTTCACACTGAACGCAGAGAACTTTCTCATACTGCTAAATCAGAGCGTTCCATAATTTAGCAAATATGCCCAATACTTGCATTTTGACCCGCTTTTAGCTGAGGTATTTTTGTTTTGAGGGTGTTAATGCACATCTGGCTCTGTCATTTTATTCAAAAAGGCAAAAACCCTTTCTATCACATAACTGAAGGGGGATGCAAACAGTATGGCTGGCTGTAAACATCTCGGTTCTAAACAAGAGAGAGAAAAGCAGTTCGATATGCAACAGAGGCTACATTAACATGCCGTTCGTATGCAGGAGTCGTCTCGCTAGTTTTCCTAGAGGTCAGCTGTGTGTGCCGTGATCATTTGTAACCGATGAAGAAAGACTGACAGACATATCCCATGAGTCTGCACTCTCCGTCTCTGTTCTTCTCCTCATTTTCACACTGACAGCTGCTCCCCCTCAGAGGACTACGTTTAGCAGTGAGGCTAATGCAAAAACATGTAAACTCATTAATGCTACTTTCTTCTGCTGCTGCACTTTTCTCTGTTGGAGTGTTTGGGTCTGGATGCATGCATGTGTGCGTGCCCTAATGTCTGTGATTATACATTAGCATGTTTCTAATTAAAAGACATGCTGTAAATGGCCAACTCTAACCCTGGGTGTGTGGGTCTTGTTGTTGGATTGAACTGTTGTCTCAATTGTCTCAAGGGCTGTATCGTAATACATTTATGCATTTGGCAGACACTTATATCCAAAGTGAGTAGGATTGCATTCAAGGTATACATGTTATTATGTGTTCAGTAATATTCACTTAATATTCAGTAATATTGCCAAATTGACTGCGCTGACACTATCGGATGAGAACAAAACTTGAACTGAATTGAGCTGGATAATGACACTATTGTCTCCTGTAGAGCTGCTTTATAGCTGAATCGACTTATTTTCATAGTTGATGCATTTTGTAACATCGACACTGTTTTTAAGCTATATTGAATCAACACTGATCTGACCTGAGCTGAATAGCCACTCTATTGTCTTCTGCAGAGCTGAACTGATCTAATTTCATAATTGATAAACTGTTCTAAACTGAAATATTGAACTGACTTGAGCTGAATAAGGACATTATTGTATTTTTTTAGAGCTGCTTTGCAGCATAATTTGAATTTATTTCCTGTTTGAAGAAGTTTGCATTAAAATTTGCATTGAAGCTCCTTTGAAATAATCTATATTGTATAAAGCGCTATAGATATAAAGGTGACTTGGCAGATGATGTTCAAAACCTTCTTAAATAAGGACATTTTTGTGATTATTATGTGAATTGTAAATATATTTCTATTATAGTGGTTACAGATAAAATATAACTATTAATGGTATACACAGCAAAATCCCCAGAGTTAAATCAACTCTGCTCAGAGTACATATTGTCCCAGTCTACAGAGTGTTAAAGTAAAACTGAAGCCGAGTTAAAGTTAATGGGATAATTAAGCAATTAATTAATTGATGAGAGCATTAGTAAAGAAAACCCGTTGTTAACAATGTTGAAGATGAACAACTACTGCTCAGGCTTACATGAAAACATATCACATAATCCTCAACAGTGGTAACTCTGCTTCAGTGTTACTTTAACACTCTGTAGATTGGGACAATATGTACTCTGAGCAGAGTTGATTTAACTCTGGGGATTTTGCTGTGTATTAATTATATTAATTAATTTATTTATTAACTCTTAATTTGACTAAAATGTATAACTTTTTTGTAATGTTGTAAATCTTAATTTAGCCTAAATAGTTAGATAGTTCAGTAATTGCAATTTCTGTCTTCCATTTTCTATAGTGTTTCCTTACATTTTTATGGCTGTTTTACTCTACACATTTTAAATCAAATTTACCTACCCATGAGAAATATTTAACAGAGTCCCCTATAATGTAGTATAGCACTCTTATGTAAATTAGGCATATGCGACTGAACCATTCCCTTCCTAAAACATCATTTTCAAGATCAGCAGAGGTATTTATTAACTCCTAACATATGAGGACCTCAAACACATCGTCTGTTTTAAAACCCTGCATTCCCTGAGGCACATACACATTCACCCAACCCACAATGCATAAATGAAACTTGAAGATCTATGTCTGCAATAGTTCCACTGACCTGGAGGCTTCCGCAGAACTGGTAGAGGGAGTTATCAGCTGGATTGAGATGGTTGATGTGTGTCCCTGGCTCTATGGCATTGGGTGATCTGTCTCGATCTCTGTTCCTCTGGGATGGTGTTGTCATAGTGGTGGTTGTTTGCACTGGGGGCATTGGCTGCCAAACGCTCACATCCGTCCCATTTCCAAAGGCCTGGATTGCATTACCTACATAAAAAATAGCAAAGATGGTTTCTACCTCATACTAAAAGAGAGATACGATGAAATAGTTAAGAATTAATTGGAGGGCCAATACAGCACAGATAAACACTAGTTTTGCCTCCTGTTTGCTGTCAAAGTCTTAAGTTGGTAGTCTGAGAGATGTTTACCATAACATAAGAGACCCAGAGATGTATGACTGTTTATTAGATTTTTAGATATGTGTTTGATTGTAAATCAAGACCTACTCCTGTATTTTATGTGCATACTGGATGTGCATTGCATGCGGCTCAGAATTCCCTAAATATATCTAATTCAAACTAACCGATATGTTGAACTGACGAATGCTCGATAATGAAACTGAAGGCATGCAAAACTTGCCTCATACACTGTAAATTACAGGTGGTTTCTATTTTTCTGAATACAGGAGGTCAGGTTGCTTTACATGATGACTATCAGCTTAATCTCTCTTTCTCTGTGATTTATAATCATTGATTTAACAGAAGGACCAGCAGTGTGTACCATACTGTATATGACCGAGTGATTGCAAGCGCAGTTATCACTAACTTATTAAACCTGACCTATCAACATAGTCAATAGATAATGTGCTTTTTACTTTGACTGCCTGTATGATAGACTGGAAATGATGCGTATTCTCCACATATGAAAGTTTGGAAATGACTAGTATTTGCCCAAACTCTCAGTCAGGCCCTCTCCAGTTTTTCTTAGGAGTAGGACCTACTGCCTCATTATATGGACCTCTGACAGGCTCTTGCTCTCTCTCTGCCATCTCCACTGAAACAATACAGACAGCACACTGTTTAGCACAAATACTGCAGTCTGTGTCTGTGAAGACACAAAATCCAAGAAAGTGTGGTACAGTATGTGTAGTTGTTTTACTTTGTGAAGTTGTACTGTTGTATCAGAAACGTCCACCCTCTCTCATAGTGCTAGTTCTGTCTGTCGCTGCGCTACATCTTAAATCTGCTTCTCTAATTGTATCATACTCACATGTAAATCATTTGAACAAACACATGATGAATGTGTTGTTTGCTATTTTTAGACGCTTTCTCTCCATCTCTCTAGGAAATACTGGAAAAGACCCGCAGGCTCTGAGTGCTTTGATCGTTGTTTTGAGTCTATGAGCCCTGACACATTTTCTAAAGCAGATGAATCGTGTAGTTTCCTCTCATGTGCATGTCTCTCAATGAGTCATGTTCTCTGAATCCACTCTACACTCCACCAGCTGATGTCTGGAGACCTTCGTATCCACAAGGTTTTAGGTTTCAAAGAAAAGAAAATGCACTACAATATCAGGCTACTGTTTGCTGTTTTTGTGATTTTTTTTTTCTGATGAAATGCAGACCAGCTTAAAATAAGCATGCTTTTCTGATGTAAATAGCATTTGCATTTAGACGTTTTTCAGCAGTGCACATTTAGCAGCACCCTTTTATTTGACATTTTTCTAATGGAATACAGTTTTTTTTTTTAAAGTTTCGGGTCAATAGGATTGTTATTATTATTATTATTTTATTTTTTACATTTATACCTTTTCATTGTTACAGAAAGATTGTGTGACACTGAAGACTGTAGTAACGGCTGCTGAAAATTCAGCTCATCAAAATATTACAGTTTTGATCACATACATGCAGGCTTGGTGAACATAAGATTATTAACTTACTTAAATAAAAACTACACTCCCCAAACTTAAGTATCTACAGCATAATTTATTTGTTTCATCATATTTCTTTGTTTTCTAAAATAAAAGTATATTTCCAGCTTTAAATTAGATTTGAATCCCAGATTTTTTTTAACCCCCATTATATTTTTGAATAAAGCCAGTATGTTTTTAAGAAACACTCTTATTATTGTGCCAGTGCTGTCCACCAGTTTGAAGTTTGAGTAATGCCACCATACTCCGGAAGCAAGCATAAATGTGAAGGTGAGTATTTAAAAAGAAAAAATCAAATTTAAGATTTTTAATACCACTTGAACAATCTCACTGTTTCACTCGATGCTACCTGTTCTGCTGAAACACTAGCCTGTGTTGAGGACGCCGTGTTCCAAGGGCAGACAGATGCATAACGCTCAGGGGCTAGTGTAGGGTGTGAGGCCAAAGCACTTCGTCATAGCCTCCTAAACACCCAGATACTGACGGCATTGGGAACGAACCCCCAGAACTGTCAGGATGCCTTAACACTGAAATCCCGTAATGAGACATGAAAGGATGAGGTAATGAGAAGGAGAGAGAGAGCGAGAAAGAAAGATAGAACAATAAAAAAGCAGTTTAACCCAGTTTAACCTCCTGAAGAGTCTCCTTCAACATCCCCTCAAAGCCCTCGGCACTAAAAGAAACAAATCAAATTAAGCTCAGACTGTTCACAGATATACTCTTCTTCAGGGATGGGCAGTATTTCAGATACATGTATTTAAGTAGTTTATTTTGATACACTTAAAATTAAGGTATTTAGTATTTTATTTTAAAATACATTTTGATGTATCTTTGCCCATCCCTGCTCTTCCTACAGTGAATCCACCCTGCCCATTCTTCAACATTGAAAACTATCTCTGTTTTTCCTGCAGTGGTTTAAAGAAAGATTTTGACAGGTCACTATTCTCTTACGTTTATCATAATTTTTTATTACCTTTTTGCCTTCACTACTTAACTGTAAATGATCTTGACGTGAAACAGTTTGTGTTCTGCGTAAAAGTCCAAATATTCCATGTAGACTCTCAGTCAGGGTGGCAAATTAACTGCCACAATGTCTGAATGCAGAATTTTACCAGCCACTCACAAGTTTAAGCAGCCATTTTTAAGTAACAACTCCTGCACAACTACAACAGCAAATAATATTGTCATAAAAGCTGCATATAACTACAGTAGTAACAGAAATAGTAAAATACTATGTAGTTTCAAATAATATTTCGATTTTTTTTTTTGTTATGGCTTAGTGCAATTATCAAATCACAAAAGCTGTGATTTAATTAAATATATAATTTTCTTTTTTTCTTTTTAATTGCAATTTTATTTGCTTTTTTCTTCTTCATCACCATATACATATTGACATACAAGTCCAAAATTTTGGCAAAATTATGCAGCCCTTACAAACAAGCACAGCAAACCTGTTTTTTAATTTTTTTTATTGCATTACAAAACACAATTTTTGTTAGAAGTAGTGGTTAAACTGATCGTAGTTGATCCGTGATCCGTATGGACCAAGCCACACGGTTAGGCACGCATGTGATCCACGGATTAATTGCAAAATTTAACCATAATAGAGTATAAGTTTATCATTTGTTCGTATTTACACAAGCAAGCGAATTTTAAACAATTCCAGAGAGAAAAGGCGAAAGGGAACTCAATTCGTTACTCACGCACTGTTCTCTACGTGCACAGAAACAAAACAGCTGTGATAAAAATCTATATTTAATTTATACAGTGAACACTATGCAGTGTTATTTTCCCTAATTATTACATTTCTGTATTTGAATACTACCAGCCTTATTTTATTTGTAACATATTCTGTTGTATTTATCTATGCTTGTAATTTGTGTATTTGTTCTTATTTTTACTGGCTGTTCTCTTGTCTCTTTAATCATGTTTAAACTTTCTTAGTTAATCTAGTAGTATTTGCTGTGGTATCAAAGAAGTACTTCGCTTTAAGTAATAAATGGAAAGCAAGTTAAAATGAAATATTTTTCTTTTCTTGCTGATCCGAAAAATGATCAGATCCGTGGGTCAAAAACCATAATGTGATCCGAACCGTGAGATTTGTGATCCGAGAAAGAAATCGGATGTGAAGTGTATCATTATATCGGATCCGTGCATCAGGTCTTAAGGGACAGCGGCCTATAAATACTGCTGCTGTCATTAATGATCATCAAACAACAAAACAGCTGTGATAAAAATCTATATTTAATTTATACAGTGAACACTATGCAGTGTTATTTTCCCTAATTATTACATTTCTGTATTTGAATACTACCAACCTTATTTTATTTGTAACATATTCTGTTGCATTTATCTATGCTTGTAATTTGTGTATTTGTTCTTATTTTTGCTGGCTGTTCTCTTGTGTCTTTAATCATGTTTAAACTTTCTTAGTTAATCTAGTAGTATTTGCTGTGGTATCAAAGAAGTACTTCGCTTTAAGTAATAAATGGAAAGCAGTTAAATTGAAATATTTTTCTTTTCTTGCTGATCCGAAAAATGATCCGATCCATGGGTCAAAAACCGTAATGTGATCCGAACCGTGAGATTTGTGATCCGTTGAACCACTAGTTAGAAGAATCATAATCAGATTTTTTTTCTCCAAATTGTGCATTCCTATTGACTTTTAACAGTGAACTGAGGACTGAGGCTGTTACAAAAGGGGCATGATGATTGACATGACCTTCTTCTTCTGTGAACTATTTCACCACAAGAAACTTAGTTCAAGTGCTGTGTATTGAGGTTTGAGTAGTGGCATTCACCTGACTCTGCTTTCTAAACTGACCCCTGCATGGATCTTTTTCAGTACTATACATTTTTCGTAGCACTCCCAGGACTTTCACAAGCCCTCCCTGAAAGCTCGCTTTTTTCTGTTACCACTTAGTCTGTTTTCACGCAATTCTATGAGTACACGGGAACAAAACAAAACACTTGGTGCAGTCAAGGAAGGGTAGCGAGCAAAAGATATACGGGGGAAAGTGTAAGAGAAAGAAGTGTACATAATAGGAAGATGGAAGAGGTTTTTTGAGGCAGAGGTAAAAACGGGCTGACAGGTGGACAGCTAAAAGCCTCAGAAAACAACTAGCTGGAGTCTGAAGAGAAGGACAGAGCAAACCAGATCAGAGGGAGAATGAGACAAATGGACAGTTAGGAAGGAAATGGCACGGATGGAGGCACAAAGTTTAAAGGAAGAGAAAACAAGACAGAAAAAAGCTAACAGAAGATATGAGGAGCGATTGACAGATTGCTCACATCTTTACGTCTATTTTTATGTCATTTACTAGAGGAGGATAAAATGAAACTGACTCTTTTTATATAACCATAAGTTTCCCAAAGAGTCTCTCATTAGACTACAGCACTTGCACAACTCAAGTATGAAACCATTAAGTCAGCAAAGTTTAAAATACTGTCTTATTTAAACTTCAGTTGGAAAATGGGCATTAGAGTTGATAAGTTTAATTCATAATCACTTCAAAGTTCTCACTTTGTGTCATTTTACATGCTTTGAAATGTTTTAGTAAAAAAAAATTCATATTTGGGCACTAAACATTTTTCATTTTAATTAAACAATTTGTAATTTTAATTTGTTAATTTAGGAAGGGGGGGTTAATTTCTCAGGATCAGGTCCATGAGAATTCGATCCCAGGACGGCTGTAGCGCAACGGCGCTACATGTTGGTGCACTGACAGATATCATTCTGCTATCGTATCAGCTGATAAATTTCATATCGGTTCATATCGGTTTCATATCTCTTATTATATATATATATATTATTTTTATGCTATTTGGCCCAGCTCTAACACAAACTACACATGTAAATCAGAGGGTCTGTTTCAGATTTTCTTTGCACAGAGACAGGATAAGTCGGGCCAAAGCAGTAACTCACGCAGGCAGGCGTTGTCAGTGAAGAACTCTGTGAATCTGTCGCATTCCTCTTTGCTGTTGCCGCTGCTGCTGCAGTCACAGAATGGAGACACGCTGATCTTGGGTGAGCGCAGATAATTTGGGGTCATCACCGTGCCTGGAAAACAAAAGGACATTAAAGTATCAATTTCATATTTAATTGGAATTTGATTAAATATGTGCGTTTTTAAAAGCCTGATTGTGTACACATCAAAACCCTAAACCCTTGCCATCTTCAGATTAGCCGTTATGCTGTTCTCACTGAGCTTTCTTAAAAATAATACTTTGGTGCAGTGTGCCTCATAAAAGCTGTACTGTGGGGATGTGACAGTGTTAGCCCACAGAGAAACAGTCTCCCACTGGTAGAACAACAACAGGAGCTAATCACAGATTAATAGCTGCACTGCTGTATTCCCGTGTGTCCAGCTGTTGTTTCTGTGTGCTGCACACACGACTTTGGAAAGACATCCAGCACAAGCAAAACGCAAAGAAAGAACTAGAGAACAAACATGTTTTCACAAAGGCTTTCTCTATATATATCTCAGTGGATTTTATGGAGAGTAGTAGAAGTCATCAATCATCAATCATCATCAGTATATAACAGGTTGATGTGTGTGTGTGTGTGTGTGTGTGTGTGTATTCCCCATGACACTGAATTAATATAAAATGTACTATATTAATAATTCAAAAATAAATTTTTGTAGACCCTAATATTAAATTTACCATATTAATAATAATAAAAATAAATAAATATATGTTACAGGGCAAACTCACCAATGAGGCCAGAGTACGACAGCAAGCAGTCAGCATAATTCTCCTTCAGACAGCCAGAGAGAGAGCGGGGTTCAGGTTGACAGTTGGTGAAGAAATCAGCCAGACGAGACCTAAAACACCACACACACACACACACACACTTCATATTACATAATTCTCATCTCTTCCTGACATCTATTCTAGTACAATGAGTGCTAATGACACCACTTTATAATTAAATACGGTTCATTATGAATGAAAGAAAACATATGTTGCCAAATCTGTTTGAAAAGCACACTGCACACAATTCTTGGCTGTTAAAAGTGTTGGAAGACTCTCAGTAGTAGTCTGTGGCAGTGTTAAGAACGGAGAAGGAATGTGTAAATGAATGTGCTGTGCCGTGTCTCCTAAGACAACATGGTGTGGGACTAGTGTGGGATCTCTGCACAACTCCACCGAACACCTTGCTACAGCTAGGGGCTACACCTGGCTTCAAAATAATCATGGGTACAAGAGCAGGATGGATGCAGCAAGAAAGACATATAATGAGGAAAAAATGACTGGAATGAAGCATGTGAACTGTACAGACCTGGAGCGCAAGTGCAAATATTTTCCATTTATTTGTATGAGTGTCTGAGTGTGCCCCCCGAATGCCGAGCGGTGGCTCTTCTGATTGAGCAGGGTCATTAGCTGTCGCACTCTCTGTGCCTAAAGACGTTTACTTGGCAAAACTTCTACTTTACTTCTACATCCACGTTGTGCTAATGAATCCTTAACAAGCCACTTAGCGGACTCTGGGGTTGCCTCCTTCCTGCACAAACCAGATTTAAGGCTGCAGTTTTTATTGCTAGACTTCAATAATCACCACGATCGTCCTCGCAATGTGTTCTCCTGCCTTACCTTAATAAATGCTTTATTTCCCAATAGATGCAGTTTAGCTGCTCATTGCCATGTCTGTCCCTATTGGTGAATATGTGTTATTACAGATGGCATGTTGTGATGTTGCCTTTCAGATTCAGTGAGGCATTTCTTAGCACCTCTAAATGGCTCATTTTGCACTGCCATGTGTTAATGCACACAAGATAAGTGTTGCCATGAAGTGTGGATGCATTTGCATGTAAGTGTGTGTGTGTGTGTGTAAGAGGGCGAAAGAGAAGGATAGCCAACTGTTCTTAACTTTGTGTATATACTTTATTTACTCGCTTTACAACTATAAAGTTTGAGACTGCTAGTGAAATGGTTCTGTTATTTTTATATTATATTATATTATATTATATTATTATTAGATCATTATAAATTATTATATTAATAATATTTTAAATTGTTTTTAAATGCCAGTTCTTAATTTACATTAGTTTATTTATTAAGTGAAATATATAATTTCAATCATATATCAATAGAATTATTACTAACATATGTTAGAATAGAATGGAATATTGAAATATATTTAGTTGTTTATTATCTTATAACAATTTAAGTGAATGCTGAATCCAAATATATGAAAAAAAATTATACATATTTATTATGGCCAGTTCTTATTATTTAGGGTCAGTTCACTAATTTATTATTATTACTTTACAATAGGGTCTGAATAGATACAACTTTTGATTTTAATAATGTATTAGTAAATGTTGAAGTTATCATTATAAGATTAATAAATGCTGGTAACACTTTATTTTAAGGTGTCCTTGTTACACATTATATGTACTTACTATTAAAATAACAATAAATTATGCATAATTACATGCAAGTAACCCAAACCCTAATCCTAACCCTAACCATATAGTAAGTACATGTAGTTAATTAATATTACTCAGTACTTAAATGTATAATTACACTGTAACAACGAGGTATTTTTTAATTGTTAGTTTATGCTAACTAATGTAGTTAACTAACATTAACTAATAGAAATGTATTGTAAAGTGCTATTGATTTATTCATTTAACTTCATTGCCTTAACAACATAAGAACATGCTCACGAGAATAATATTTTAAGTTGCCTGTTATAAATGAGTTGTTTGTGGCTCAGACCTGCAGATGTAGTTGGTCTTGCAGGACGCTTGCAGTGCCAGGCAGTTGGGCTTCTCCTTGTCCTCATATGAACAGGCTGGTACGATGGTCTGGCGTCTGCGCTCAGAACAGGCCAGCTGATCCCCTAGAGGACAGGAGCAGAAGAGCATACCGTAGCTGTGCTTGGGCGGCACCTTGTCGAAGAACTGCCGCAGGGCCTTGTGGCACTTCCGTTTGTTGCAGACTTCAGCCGTTGAGACTCGGCTGGTGCAGGGGCTTATGTAAGCCGAACGATATTTCTTACAGGTATCGTTTAGGTTGCAGGCCTTTGCTGCGTTCAGGCAGTTGTTCTCCTTTGCTAGCGCTGGCTCACCTGCAAAGACAAAGATGCATGGTATAAAAGACAATATAACTAATATAAACACAGATACAGTCTGTCTGTCAATCATTTTTGGAGAGAGGGTATGCGGTTGAAATGCAGCTAAACCAGCTAAAATTGCTTTAAAATTGCTATATAAGGAAAAAAATGAAGAAATTGACAAAAAATTTAAACTTTTAAAAGTAAAAAAAAGTTAAATTAAAAATAATGGTAAAAAAACAAAGACAAAGAAAAAGAGGAATGCCGAGCGGTGGCTCTTCTGATTGAGCAGGGTCATTAGCTGTCGCACTCTCTGTGCCTAAAGACGTTTACTTGGCAAAACTTCTACTTTACTTCTACATCCACGTTGTGCTAATGAATCCTTAACAAGCCACTTAGCGGACTCTGGGGTTGCCTCCTTCCTGCACAAACCAGATTTAAGGCTGCAGTTTTTATTGCTAGACTTCAATAATCACCACGATCGTCCTCGCAATGTGTTCTCCTGCCTTACCTTAATAAATGCTTTATTTCCCAATAGATGCAGTTTAGCTGCTCATTGCCATGTCTGTCCCTATTGGTGAATATGTGTTATTACAGATGGCATGTTGTGATGTTGCCTTTCAGATTCAGTGAGGCATTTCTTAGCACCTCTAAATGGCTCATTTTGCACTGCCATGTGTTAATGCACACAAGATAAGTGTTGCCATGAAGTGTGGATGCATTTGCATGTAAGTGTGTGTGTGTGTGTGTAAGAGGGCGAAAGAGAAGGATAGCCAACTGTTCTTAACTTTGTGTATATACTTTATTTACTCGCTTTACAACTATAAAGTTTGAGACTGCTAGTGAAATGGTTCTGTTATTTTTATATTATATTATATTATATTATATTATTATTAGATCATTATAAATTATTATATTAATAATATTTTAAATTGTTTTTAAATGCCAGTTCTTAATTTACATTAGTTTATTTATTAAGTGAAATATATAATTTCAATCATATATCAATAGAATTATTACTAACATATGTTAGAATAGAATGGAATATTGAAATATATTTAGTTGTTTATTATCTTATAACAATTTAAGTGAATGCTGAATCCAAATATATGAAAAAAAATTATACATATTTATTATGGCCAGTTCTTATTATTTAGGGTCAGTTCACTAATTTATTATTATTACTTTACAATAGGGTCTGAATAGATACAACTTTTGATTTTAATAATGTATTAGTAAATGTTGAAGTTATCATTATAAGATTAATAAATGCTGGTAACACTTTATTTTAAGTACATTATATGTACTTACTATTAAAATAACAATAAATTATGCATAATTACATGCAAGTAACCCAAACCCTAATCCTAACCCTAACCATATAGTAAGTACATGTAGTTAATTAATATTACTCAGTACTTAAATGTATAATTACACTGTAACAACGAGGTATTTTTTAATTGTTAGTTTATGCTAACTAATGTAGTTAACTAACATTAACTAATAGAAATGTATTGTAAAGTGCTATTGATTTATTCATTTAACTTCATTGCCTTAACAACATAAGAACATGCTCACGAGAATAATATTTTAAGTTGCCTGTTATAAATGAGTTGTTTGTGGCTCAGACCTGCAGATGTAGTTGGTCTTGCAGGACGCTTGCAGTGCCAGGCAGTTGGGCTTCTCCTTGTCCTCATATGAACAGGCTGGTACGATGGTCTGGCGTCTGCGCTCAGAACAGGCCAGCTGATCCCCTAGAGGACAGGAGCAGAAGAGCATACCGTAGCTGTGCTTGGGCGGCACCTTGTCGAAGATTGTTTTTAAATGCCAGTTCTTAATTTACATTAGTTTATTTATTAAGTGAAATATATAATTTCAATCATATATCAATAGAATTATTACTAACATATGTTAGAATAGAATGGAATATTGAAATATATTTAGTTGTTTATTATCTTATAACAATTTAAGTGAATGCTGAATCCAAATATATGAAAAAAAATTATACATATTTATTATGGCCAGTTCTTATTATTTAGGGTCAGTTCACTAATTTATTATTATTACTTTACAATAGGGTCTGAATAGATACAACTTTTGATTTTAATAATGTATTAGTAAATGTTGAAGTTATCATTATAAGATTAATAAATGCTGGTAACACTTTATTTTAAGTACATTATATGTACTTACTATTAAAATAACAATAAATTATGCATAATTACATGCAAGTAACCCAAACCCTAATCCTAACCCTAACCATATAGTAAGTACATGTAGTTAATTAATATTACTCAGTACTTAAATGTATAATTACACTGTAACAACGAGGTATTTTTTAATTGTTAGTTTATGCTAACTAATGTAGTTAACTAACATTAACTAATAGAAATGTATTGTAAAGTGCTATTGATTTATTCATTTAACTTCATTGCCTTAACAACATAAGAACATGCTCACGAGAATAATATTTTAAGTTGCCTGTTATAAATGAGTTGTTTGTGGCTCAGACCTGCAGATGTAGTTGGTCTTGCAGGACGCTTGCAGTGCCAGGCAGTTGGGCTTCTCCTTGTCCTCATATGAACAGGCTGGTACGATGGTCTGGCGTCTGCGCTCAGAACAGGCCAGCTGATCCCCTAGAGGACAGGAGCAGAAGAGCATACCGTAGCTGTGCTTGGGCGGCACCTTGTCGAAGAACTGCCGCAGGGCCTTGTGGCACTTCCGTTTGTTGCAGACTTCAGCCGTTGAGACTCGGCTGGTGCAGGGGCTTATGTAAGCCGAACGATATTTCTTACAGGTATCGTTTAGGTTGCAGGCCTTTGCTGCGTTCAGGCAGTTGTTCTCCTTTGCTAGCGCTGGCTCACCTGCAAAGACAAAGATGCATGGTATAAAAGACAATATAACTAATATAAACACAGATACAGTCTGTCTGTCAATCATTTTTGGAGAGAGGGTATGCGGTTGAAATGCAGCTAAACCAGCTAAAATTGCTTTAAAATTGCTATACAAGGAAAAAAATGAAGAAATTGACAAAAAATTTAAACTTTTAAAAGTAAAAAAAAGTTAAATTAAAAATAATGGTAAAAAAACAAAGACAAAGAAAAAGAGTCTGATATTATCCACAGCTCTGAAACCCTTGCGCCACAGAAAAATCTTTTATTTGAATACCCAACGGAACTGACAGACATGTGAATTAATCATCACAGTTTCTGCAGGTCTGCCAAAACACACAGTTGCAGGCCTTTGCTGCGTTCAGGCAGTTGTTCTCCTTTGCTAGCGCTGGCTCACCTGCAAAGACAAAGATGCATGGTATAAAAGACAATATAACTAATATAAACACAGATACAGTCTGTCTGTCAATCATTTTTGGAGAGAGGGTATGCGGTTGAAATGCAGCTAAACCAGCTAAAATTGCTTTAAAATTGCTATACAAGGAAAAAAATGAAGAAATTGACAAAAAATTTAAACTTTTAAAAGTAAAAAAAAGTTAAATTAAAAATAATGGTAAAAAAACAAAGACAAAGAAAAAGAGTCTGATATTATCCACAGCTCTGAAACCCTTGCGCCACAGAAAAATCTTTTATTTGAATACCCAACGGAACTGACGGACATGTGAATTAATCATCACAGTTTCTGCAGGTCTGCCAAAACAGAGGCTGTTTATAAGGAACCTGTTTTTTGTTTTGGGTTGTTTTTTTATGTTAAACGGAACAGTGCTCATCCTTTGGATCCCTGCAGCCTAAACAAACAGTCATCTTGGCCGAACAGGGGAGTCATCAAACAGCCGGCACGGCTCTGCTCTCGCCTGTCAGCTGCGGCTAATTGCCGGCTTTCTAACACATTCCACAATTAACTAACATTTCTGGAGACTTGCTGAGCTACAGCAGCAGTTTGGCTTATTAAAAGAGCCAATTAAAAACAAGAGATGGGTTGTATTAGAGCAGGGTGGAGCGTACATGTGCACGTGTTTTTCTATGTACGTGTGTGTATGTGTGTTTAAGGACAGTGCTAATATGATGGTTGTTTTTAAGGAAGCCTGCGAGGAGACTGTATCCTCAGTGCCTCTAGCGGCAGGAAGTGATGTCATTCAGTCATGCAAGTCATGTTGGATTAGACTAAAGATAAAAACAGGTGTATAGAACACCAGGTGTATGGAAGCCACCTGTCCACTATCTCTGACATTTGTGTACGATTGTTGCATTTCGCTGCAGTTAAGCCGGGCATACAATGTGCGATTTCAGCAATGTTTTTGTTAAATACCAACTCTCACTGTACGAGTAAATTGCATTTATGTGCTCACAATATACGCTCCATCGTCGAGCTGAAACTTGACTGCTCACAATATACGTGGGAAGTAAACACGTGGGATCCCCCAAACATGGGACTGTGTAGCCTCCATCGCTTCTGTCCAAACAACACGCCATGTCAACAAGGTTTCATTTCTGTTTAGGGCAGTCGGTTCATAGCACTGCTTTAACTGTGCGATAACTTCACGAGGGGCGACCAAAATGTCAGAAATTCATCCGGCTATTCGATTGCCGGTCGGTAGAGGCTAATCGCCTTTCATTACCCCTTGTACACTCCACAACAAAACACACATGACAATTCGGCCTGACTTGGGGAAAAAATGCTGCATAACCACATACAAAGTAAATTAAATACTAAATAGAATAAACAAATTCAAAATAAAATAAAAAAAAAAAAAAAAAAAAAGAGTTGTATTATTCAGAAATCAGCTCAAAATCAGACGAAAATCACACAGTGTATGCCCGGCTTTACATGGAAGTTTCAAAGCAGCTGTTTTTTTCACTTGGTAAAATGACAGAATAATCAACTTATGAATATATCCCCTCAAAATGACCGCTATTATGTCTGAAAGAAAAGCATAGTAGGTTTTTACATAGTAGTAAGCATAGTTAATTTTGAAATAATTATAAAATATTGATGTCAGACATGTCATGTTGCATACAGTCTAATGGCAAAAATTCTAATATTCCGCACCCAAACCTCAAATTAATTTTGAAAATTCTGCATACGCATATGACTGAAACTCTATGCAGCTCCTGTAGTGCTCTCTATTAGAAATGAATGACTTCTGGTCTGTCATTTGTCATACATAGTGAAAAGGAGGTTCGAAGTGGACATGGATTCAAAATTGACATTTCATAGTATTTGTGCTCAATTCAAAGCAAAATGTTATATTTTTTTCAACAAAACGTATCAAAATTTCTGCTTCTGAAATTCATATCACAAATTCATTTTACTTTTTTAATCCCTCCTCTTCAACAGCCTTGCTGTGGTACATAGCTTTTCAATGTGGTATATTACTGATAATGCTGCACAATGATATGTAGAAAAACTGAAATCAGTGCTCAGTAGCCGGGTTTCCATCCAAAGTTGCAAATTTAACTTGTGCGCAAAATTAGAATGTCGCATAAAACATTTGCGAATAAGCACCATTTCCACCCGACGAGTCAAAGAGAACAAAATCGTCACTTCCTGATAAACTGGCACTAAATATAACAAAGAAAAGTGGGAGAAGTCAGTGAATATAATACTTTTCATATATAATAAATGATTTGTGCCTCAGAGCGAGCAGACGAAACACAATGAATGCGGTAATTGCTTTCGTAAATGCCAGCTGTTCGGGAACACAGTCGTGTAACAGTTCTGGCGGGCAATAATACAGAAATACTTTGACAACAGACTTTGCTCGGGCATTTCAGAATGACCATAGCAACATTTCAGGTGCTGTGCAACAAGATCGGTCCGCTGGTCAGGTTATGCCATTCCATCGCGCAAAGTCACATGATTTGTTTGATGCACATGAAGGAATTTATTTGGCAAATGCGTTACCATCTCCCATTATTCGCATTAACCCTTTTTCGCACAAGACAAAAACCACCTCAAGTGAGCGTAAAAACTTTTTTGCGAATCAAGTTTTTTTTTTCAAAATTTGGTGTTTCCATCACTCGTTTCTAATGCGCTACTTCAAAATGTGCGCTAAAACAGGGTGATGGAAACATAGCTGGTGATGACTATATCTCTTCCAAGTAAAAATCTGTTTGAGCTGAAGACAGTAGCAGATACACTACCATTCAAAAGTTTGAGGTCAGTAACATTTTATAAGAACAAAAGAAATTAATACTTTACTCAGCAAATATGAATTACATTCATCAATAAAGAACTGACATTTGTAATGTTTCAAAAAGTAAGGTTTATATTTGAAATAAATGTTCTGTTCTGTTCTGTTCTTATGAATTTTACATTAATCAAAGAATCCTGAAAAAAGTATCAAGATTTGCACAAAAATATTAGACAGCTGGACTGTTTTCAGCACGAATAGTAATAAGAAGTATTTCTTGTGCACCAAATAAGCTTAGTGTGATTCAGCTTTTCCATCACAGGAATTAATTACATTTTAAAATAGATTAAAGTAGATAACCGTTATTTTAAATTGAAACAAAAAACCCACAATATTACTGTTTTACTGTATTTTTGATTAAATAAATGCAGCCTTGTTGGGCTTAAGTGACTTTTTTTTCAAAAACATTAAAAAATCTTAACGACCCCAAACTTTTGAACAGTAGTGTGTCTTCCAGAGACACACACACACACACACGCACATTGAAAGTCCATCTGCCCAGACAACATCTGCCCATTCAAGCCCTTCAGAACAGAAAAGTCTCTGTCTCTCTCTCTCTCTCTCTCTCTCTCTCTCTCTCTTTCTCTCTCTCCAGAAGGGGTGCTTATCTATGTGTGGAAGAAAAAGTGGAATGCAATCTTGCCTATTCATAAACAGTGTGATGTTCTCAGTCAGAGCATCAGACATGCACACACACATTCACACAGGCACTCAAAGCAAGAAAAAAAGCCCTCTCTGCTGAGTTCCACTGCTGTTAGATGACATCATCAAAAAAAGACAGTCTGTGTGTGTGTGTGTGTGTGTGTGTGCGATGTGCCCCTCTGATCTGATGCCCTGAGGCTGACAAGAATAAAATACCTATTCTGTGGCTTGGCACAAAGGGCTTCAGGTTGAAACGATCCTCTACAGCTGTCTGGATCCTTCACCTGTCGAATGAACCCTTAGTACCAGATGTCACACTGAAGAGACTGACCCAATCACACATGAACACACACACACACACACACACACAATCCACATAACATTCATTGAGCACCAAAAAAAAAAGTACAAAGTTGCTATGGCGAGTAAATAAAACAGATTTACTTGTAGTTGACTGGTAATTTCATAAAAAATAACATAATACAGGGTTTAAATCAAATTGTAGGAGCAATAGTCCAACTCCCACTGATGTAAGATACACGATTCAAATCAAATTGTCTACCAAGTAAAATATCTGCATTGACTTGTGTCATTTTCAATAACTTTTTTTCATTCTCTGCATATGTAATGAATAAGCTATAAGTAATCTAATATAAAGCTGCAAGTAGATTTTTTTTATAATTTTTTTTTTAGAAGTCATGGAAGCGCACAAACAAAGAGTATGATGTAAATTAATTAAATTTAAATAATTAATAATCTTATATCATTCAAAAGTCTCTCATGCTCATCAAGGCTGCATTTGTTTAATTAAGCAATACAGTAACAATTTTAATATTGTGAAATATTACTTTTAAACAGCTGAATCTTCAGCTTCCAATATTCGAGTTTTCAGTGTCACATGTATTCACAGTTCACATGTATCCCTATAGAAATAATTCTATGCTGGATTTGCTGGAAACAGGGATACTTTTTTCAAGATTTTTTGATGAATAGAAAGTTCAAAAGAACAACATTTGAAATAAAAATTGTTCATAGCAATGTATAAAGTCTGTACCTTTGATCAATTTAATGCACCCTTGCTGAATAATTACTTTGTGTAATAATAAAGAATAATAATAATAAGAAGAAGAAATAGAGTAAGAAAGGACACATTGTCTTATTTCATTTAGCATTAACAGGTACTTCTGAACCATAATGCAGAAATATGTTTCACGTTCGCAAACACTAACATCACACATACATGCTGCAGCTCCTTCACCACACACCTCACACACACTGGCCATCTGGCCTGGAAGGTAGAGCAGGAATCCCCTCCCCTACTGTGTCTCATCTCTGATACAGCCTCAAATTGATTAGTGTCTCCTATTTCCTTCCCCTTTTGGCTCTAATTTTCAATTAGCAGGAGAATCAGTCTGAATAATGACCTTGAATGCTATTGGAACAAACCTGGGGTGTGCATACAGATCTGCTTCTCATGTTTTATTTGGGCCTTTGTTATCCA